AAAAAAAAAAAAAAAAAAAAAAAAAAAAACAGAAAACTACTGATTGCATCTCGCAATGAGAAACAACTTTTCACTTGGAATTTCTTTTTTGTTTCAAATTAAAAATTTTACATCAAATAAGCGGAAGAATACCAAATACATGTGCTATTGATTTCTAATCTAAAAAACACAGGTAATTTAGTAGTTCGTAATAGCTATTTATACGGGTAAGATTTATACTTGTATGTATTATGATTATTAGTAGTACCAAACAGTTGGTCAGACAATGCAAGTGGGCTGCGTAACTAATTAGCGTTTGAAAGCGATTTTGAGGGAGTGGGGTCATCGTTCAGATTACGCACTCCTGTTTCCCACCTAAGTTATATATCTAAGTTATAACATTTTGAAGGTTGATTTTTTGATAAAAGAGTAATTTACAGAGCAAATATATCATTTTAAATGTCGAGAACTAGAAAGGTGGGTTGAAAAATTTGTGTATTTAGACTTGGTTAGTGATCCGTTTCTTTCGACATTTCCGTCGGTAGCTGATCAACCAGACATGATCAACTTAGTACGATCACTTTGGGCAACGCGAGCAAAAGCATTAAGCAATAAGGCAAGTTTAAAAGTACCAGTGTCGTCATAAAGTGATTTTTTAAATACACACTGATAGAAAAATTATAAGACTAGGAACTGTATAGAATCAAGTCAACAAATTTTATTTTTATCATTGCGTCGTCGTTTAAATTTTATCAAAAGGTAGATTTTTCTTTGTTCCAGTGAAAAGCATAGTTGGAGTTTCCAAGAAACTTTTCTTGAATAACTAAAAAATTGCTTTAAATGAAGCTATTATCAAAAAAAGCCTGGTGAAAACCTAAATTAGTTTTGTTCTTTTTTGTACAAATTTTGTTATAAATATACAGCTAAACCTGACGGAAATAAGAACAGTGTATAGTAAAAGAATTATCATTCTGTCCTTCCTAGCAATTCTTTCTGAACATTCATGTCAAAAATTTTTGAATTAAGAGACGCAGGTATTTAGAAGAAAAATGGCAAAAAAGAAGGATTTGCTGGAAGAAAATTAGGTAAAACAATTTAACACATACTTGTAAAACGTGAATGGTAATAGATGGTGGTCCTTAAATGCTGTCTTGTGCGAATTAATTGAGCTGGCAAAGATCAAAAAGTTAGCAAAATGTTAGTCTTTACCAGATAGTGGCAAAAACAGCAAAAAATTGTTACCACATATAAAATAAACGTTTTTTTCCAGAAATATAATAAAAATTTAAGAACAAAAACGTAAGTAGGTACATTTTGCCAGTACAGATAACATAAACTTCTAGCCCTATCAAAAAGAAACCAGAAAAGTTGCGCTATACGTTTTCTTCAGAAGAAAAACAAGAATTCTGTATCATAAAATATTTGAGCCTAATCTTAGGTTCAGTTTATGCTGATTCTCAAAAAGGAACACTAACTTTGTAGCGAAATACCAGGTTTACTGTAAGTTTATAGAACCTCCAATTTTTCAGATTTGAGTCGCTATTCCAGCAAATGCAGCAACGTCAAAAATCTTTATCATTGTTTGAATCTCTCCTACCAGTTAAAGTGTAATTTCCCCCCTTTCTTCCCCTCTCCCTCCTCAAATTGTAAATAAAGTGACTAGAAAAAACGAAAAATCCTTCTATTGACATGGCAAATTTAACTACTTCATTTATGTGCCACCTGTATTAAAATAACTTTTTTAATATGATTATATGTCGTAATTGATTCCTTAATTAATTTTTAGAAATATAATTTCAATTTCAGATTGCAGAAGAAGAAGAAACTTTGGAGTTTAAAAAGCTATACATGCGCAGTGTCTTTATAATACATAAGACACTGGCACTTCCGAAATACAATTTAAAAAATTCGACAGATCTTGCAAAACGTCACGTGGCTTTAAAATCGCTGGTCGAGCAGTATTACTTAAATCAAAATGTCGTCAAATTTTTATCGTTGCACAAATGCAAGCCAATTAATGTTTTTGATTACACAGTTGATTTAGTTGGACCGCATGCTATCGATTAAATAAAAAATTCAGATGCTCAATCTTATGCAAGAATAATATAGCTGTATGAACAATATCTGCCTTATGTTGAGAATAACCTTTCAATTAATTGCTTTCGTTGGTCTGCAAGATTTCACTAGTAAATGGTTTCAACATCGTAATACTTTTAAAACGTTAGTCAATGTTTTTCAGTCTCAACCTACAAAGCTGAATAAAAATTACGCTGAATTTTCTTAGTCATGTAACCTACAGAAAAATGTAGATTTTTGCGTGATGTTTTCATTATCAAGTTAAAGTTCGCTTTGCCAATTGCAAAGAATCCTGACGGCAAAATAAAGCAAAAAAAAAAAAAATTAAAACACACAATACTAAAACAAGTGTTAAACAACGTGCTTACTAAAAAACTGTCACTGATATGTTTTTCAGCAATTTTTCTCATAGGAAGTAGAAGTTCTTTAAAACTGCAAAATTTTTTCAATGAGGCATCTTTGACAATTTTTTAGTTTGCGTAAGTTGACCATGAACAAGAAGCTGCAGTACACCAGAGATCAGAATCCAATAATAAGCAACATATAAATTGTATAAAGCAAGATAAGAAAACTAGTTCTCCTGAAGTAAAATTTCCGAAAATATTAGTTTAAAATACGTGAGAATTTTCAAATGATAATTGTACAGGGTTAAGTAAAAGAGAAATTTTTTTTAATTAGAACTTCAAGATCTCAACTCGTTTTCACTTTGCTTAGGCAGTGTCAATCTTTACTATAGCTTGAACTACTACATGCCTAATTTAATTTCTGTACCTGATAAAAAGAAAAACAATAATAACTGCATTTGTTGAGCCTATTTACAGCCTTTTGCCAGGTCAACGTTTACTTTATCGACATTTGGACTATCTCTGGAAACATATAGTTCTCAATCATCTCCCAAAAGGAATAGTTCACTATGTCAAACAATCAATGGTGATTTGAACTTGTAGATGGCAATGGCCCTACAACGTTGCATTAAGAAATTTCTATGGTGACTGCACATGAAGAAGCTTCACAGTCATTTATAATGACTAAATAAATTCTGTCAGTTAAATAGTTTTTAACTGATTGCACTTCCCTACCATCAGTGCCTTTGCTAACAGATAATCAACTAACTTTTGAGAGATGACGAAGCAGTTTTAGTTTTAAAATGATTTCAGAAGGATTAAAAGACTAAGTGAGCTACCACAACTGCTCTTCTCGTACCAATTTCCTCAGTCCGATGACTTGAAAAACCAAGAGGTTGAATCACTGTATTTGCTTGCTTTAGATATCCATACTGCTTAGAATAAAACTAACGGGTCTGTGTACGTTGACTCTTAGTCTACTGTTTTATTTAAAAACACGAACAAACAAAGATTTTTTTTTAATGTCAAGTAACTTTCTCATTATCATTTGCTGCAAAGATGCAAAATGATAGGAAGTCCCCGGCCAAAGTTGTAACTTTTTTTTTGTTCCTATAACTCTAACTTTTTAAGAAGTTTAGAATACTTGCCTCAAGAGCAAAATTTGATGTTATTGAGAGCTACCATTCATAGCAGCATCTCCTCACTGCTTTTTGGCCTACTTTTTTTAAACGTTCTGCTTCCTCAGCCTTCATACAGGTGGTTGAATTGGAAATGGCAAAAAACTCATCCTGACCTTTACTATCGAGTTCCCCAAAAAGTCTCCAATGTCTGCGCATATTCTCTCTTCCCCTTGGTTTGGGTAATGGGTGTACGTTTCAAATCCTCAGTCACGTACCTGTCTTTCCTGAACAACATGTCTCTCCTCTCTTGATTCCTCAGTTACCGTCTGGTTTAGTCGACATTTTGTACCTGTCAGTTTTTTTAAGAGCTGTTGGCTGCTCTGCACTGCTGCTGATTGAATGGTACACTTTAATAAGCTGCAAATCACTCATCATGGTTAAGCCGCCAAAGGTGGCAAAAAAAAACTTTTTGTCATAATTTGCTTGTGCCGTCTTAAGCAGTAGAAAACAGCAACAATTCACTTGTCTTTTATCTCAACACTTAAAAAAATAGAACTTTATTTAACTTTATACACAGTAATACAACTGACCAACCTGTCAATTTGTGAGTTACTTCACAACGATACAAAAAGCCAGTTACAGCAATTGATAGTAACAGTTACGAGTCGATAGTAAAAAGAAAAACTCTGATACAACACTCTTCTGATACTGTTGCGACAGTACGCGAAACGCCGATGTCCAATTGACTGAGACGACCGATCACTCCCTGAGGAGACGCTTTCAGAGGAGTGACGGTTGGTCAGTGTCAAACTGACAAACTTAAGGCAAAGGATTACCGCTACCTTTACCGGGAGAAGCTTTCAAGGAAGGAGTGGCTGATCAAAGTTCTAATAAAAGAAGTTCAGGACTCATGAGTGAAGCTCCTTTTAATCAATTTTGATCAACAGCGTTTGTGTCTCAATTGCTCTCTAACTTTATTGCTTCTTTCTTTAGCCTACTTGATATCCGAAATTCTGTCCTTTTATTTATTGGCATGTTTTCTTGTTTGTTATTATTATTTTATCATCAGTATTATTAGTTTCGTGTTCGTTATCGTTTATATTAAATTTACTTTGTTTTTCTCATTTATAGTAGTACTCGTGCACCACAGTTGTAACTAGTAGGTTCAGCTGTGTGTTCAGCTGTGTACCTATGTACCACAATATTTTAATAGGAAATAAAGGTTGTAAAATAACCATAGATATTCACATTCCGTCACTGCTAGATATAAGTTTTACTATCTGTATTGACAGTAACGGTAAGAAATAGTCCATTAACGTTATCTTAAGTAGTATTACAGTTACTGGTTGGTGCTGTAAATTTCAAGAGCTAATTGGGACTACAGCAACACAAAAGTTTTCTACAGCTTTTAAAGAGCGTTTCTCGAAAGGTAGCCGAAGAACTGGTGAAGAATGAAGGAGCTGTGACTAAAAAAAAATGATAGAATTCTCCGCTAAACTTAAGGCGTCATTGGAAGATTCTTGACCAGGAACTGTTGAAGAGCCGGTATGACACTGAAGTGACATAAAATTTTAGGTTATATAAACGATCCTATGGTAAACTTTCTGGTAGTGCAAGAGGTAGCCGAGGAAATTTTAGAAAATGTCAGGTTAAGAGACAGATACTTAATATTTTTATGGACAATAGCTAATGAACTGATAACCGAACGTAGAGAACAGCCACAACCTTGGTAAAGACGCAAACTTTCGGAAAACTGCAAAAACATCTGCCCGCAATTAATGGGAATCTGTCAATAAAGACAATTTTGCATGGCCATTGTTACTGCAGGCGAACGACGCAGCGGTAAAGCGAAGTAATCAGCTCAGCTTAGAGCAACATTGCCTAGAAGCTAGGCGACAGTTGCCGTTTGAATAGGCCGTTGTTTACTAAAAGTTAGAGTTGGTTTTATGCTTTCTGATTTATTCTTAATGGGAGGACAGTCCAAGTGGATCTGCGTCTCGAGGTCTGCAGTTCACTCTTCACTCCTATTACTGTGGTTGTTGTTGTTGTTGTGGTTTTCGCGAATGCGTCGGCCTACTTATTTGTATCAACTCACAACCATATTACGTTTCTAATAATAGAAGTTCAATTACCCAAGTTCGAGGACATGCAATAAAGCAGCAGAACGCTAGAAAAAAACCAGCACACTGTCTGGTTTTACAGCCGTCAGAGAGCAGTGCATTAATTGAGAACAAGCGCACAGACTACAAAAATTGAATTAGACAGTAATTATAGAAGTAACCCAAAAATTATGACAGCTCTGTTGCGTGTTTTCAGTGATTACAGTTTAGTATCGAGAATGAATGAAGAAAAATTTACCATTTGGAGAGGACTTTACTTCTCTGCACCATTTGACAAGCTACCAGTTTTACTTTTACAGGTTTTAGGAGTAGAGAAAAGGATTGACACCAGAGGTCAATTCACCATATAACAAAATGGCGTGGCCGTGGAAGCATAGGATTACATCACGAGTTGGCTCAATCATTCTTTGTGGTGATCGTATGCTATTATCAGGCGTCAAAGACGGATATTACAGCAAGGTATAATAATACCTCTGTTTTTACAATAAATGAGTTTCAGGGTAGTGAAGCCGATGTGACGAGAGTAAGACCTACAAGAAAAGGAAGAATGGAAAACCTGGAGCCCAGGCAGTATCAGTTTCTGTGCGACAAATGAAAACCCACAGTAGCGTTGTCTAGAGCTCGACAAGGATTAGTCATCGTTGGATATTGGCATTTAATACTGGAGTCACTGCCTTAGGGAAGATTTTTGAAATAATATCCTAATGTGCAGCTAGGACTCCACGAACTCCTACAAGTGGTCCTTTAGTCTCATGTAAGATGGTCATAAAACGAAAATGTGAACAAAAGGGAAAAAATTTTTTTTTGTGCTTTGTATATTTTTATTTTTTTTATAATTTTTGTTTTGTGTTTTCTTCGTGGATTTTTTTGTAAGATTGGTAAATGCAAACTACGTCCGGCTTTGTGAAATAAAAGGGGAGAAGAGAAGGAAATTAAATTGAGAATGGAAGTCTCCTGCTCGGTTTAAAGCTAAAATCTTAAACATTACGATTGACCATTAAGCCAAAGTTTCCGAGAGAAGTGGAGATGAGTGCTTCCCGCCAACCGGTATGAGAAAATGAGCAGAAGGTAGCATTTCTGGGGTTATTTAATCAGAATAGTGTTGTGCCGGAATTTGCCTTTACTACCAACTTTGAACTGTTACTATCAATTGCTTCAACTGATTTTGCGTATTGTTGTGTAGTAACTCACGAATTGACAAGTTGGTCATTTGTATTACTATGTAAAGAGCTAAATAAAATTCTATTTCTTCAAAGTGTTGAGACAAGAGATAACTGAGGGCCTAGGCAGAGTAAGCAAATAAAAGTTAGAGTATAATTCAAAGTGTTTATATAGAGAGTTTTATAAAAGGGCTTACAAGATAGCTCAAAATGTTACAGAGATTTTAATGCACTTTTTCATTTTTT